TTTGTCCTTCTGAAACTGACCTCATTTTTAAGCTTTACTTAAATACTCCCGACTAACGTCGGCCTTAATGACTTGACTGTCTGAGAATTGCTTTGCAGGTGTGAGAGAGAAATAAAGCCGTGATGTTCACACGCACACTGTAATCTCCACTTTATTTTATTAACCCACACATCTGTAATTGCATTTCAGACAAGTTAAGTCTTCTCGTATTGCTTTGTGAGTCACTTCCTTTGCAAGGAAATGAACGCAGGGACCGTGGTATGATAAGTCAGTGAAATCTTATGTAATGACATTTTTATTCTAATGTAAACAACAAGAAGTATTTCAATCTCTAGAGAACAGCTCAAATTAGCTCATCCTCCCTGTGTACACCAACAATGCGCTCTTTCCTCTTACCTAGGGACAGAATAGATATCTGTGCACTTTTCCCCCCTGAAACACATCCTACATCACATTTAATTTATCAGCTAGAGCAGCGTTTCTTTGAACATTTAAAACAGGCAGTACAACGGCTGCAACCTGATCAATTACTCTGTCCTCTTCTCCTCCTGCCTCGCTTTGTCATCTCTGGAGTCTGGCAAACAGCGTTCTCATGTGCTAATATTTACAGCGGAATTTCCAATATCATGCTTTCCTGCTTCATTCCATTTCCTGTGTCGAAATTGCTTCCCTGTAGAACAAAACAATTATTTATGGTAAAATGCATTTGTGCATATTTTATTGTGGCATTGCATAATTGTTTCTTTCTCCTCACTTCTGGTGGGATCTTTGCACCTGTGCTGTTTTTGCCCCTGCACATTATTTATTTAGCTGTCATTGCGTGAGTTTGTTTTGATGGATTATGAAACGGTGATCAGCGGCCGCCGTTCACTAGATGCCCATTGCTTCGCTTTGCTGAGTTTTGTATGCAAAACTCTTAATTCCAGTGCCGTCCTACGTAGGTGCAGTCTTAATGATGTGGCCTTTCGTATTGTCTCTCTCTGGCCTACATAATAGCCAGTCCTCTGTTCAGAAGAATCCTGAGGGGCAGGTTTAATAACCCAGATAGATAGTGCTGTTAGATTTCTATCTGCAGGCACTCTGTCTCTGCCTGTGAACGACCAGGTGCCTCACTCTAAGCATTCACAACACTTCCCCTCGCCATGTAAATAAAATTTTTCACTAGAGAAACAGGTATTGAGAGAAAAAAAGGGTGTTTGTGTGAGAGAAAGAGAGGGGAAAGGAGGCCAGGTGAGAAGTATCACACTGCTGGTTCTATTTCTGAGGATGAAAATGAGCAATGTGTTTGTTTTGTGTCAATTTTTGATTGTGCAAATGAAAGAAACCGTTAGGAATCATTGAGAGAGTTCACACTAACGTGTATTGATACTGAAGCTGTGGCACATTGTACTTTGTCCTCTAGGCAAAGAGAAATGAGGTGGAGGTAAAACTAATATGACTAATTATATCAGGTTGTCTGCCATCAAATGAAATTAGAAATATAACATTTCAGAAAACTAGCTCTCAGGTAAGCTGTACCATGTCAAGGGACAAGTTGAATAATTGGTGAATATGTGAAAGATTTGCAATTTAAATAAATATAAAAACATTTCTATTTACTAATGCTGAATTCCATTTAAAGTGTAATTTTCCTGCATATAAACATTTTCAGTAACCTTTCACAAGAATATTTCATATAAACACACACACACACACACATACATATATATGAAATCTAAAAAGTTTATATATATATACGACTAAAACACATCTGTTCCAGCTTTATTTGACCCTCTAACTCTAGCACTTTCTATTGTATTTTAATTCTACTTTATTTATCTTAAAAAACTAACACTAGCTTTATATTTTTTTCTAATCTATCTACTTGTTTTTCTTTGTGTGTGTGTGTGTGTGTGTGTGTGTGTGTGTGTATATATATATATATATACTGTATATATCTTGCTACGTGTACTTTGTTAAACTAACCGAGACTTGTCATTTGCACTTATATATTGTTGCTCATTTGCTAGTTTTGATTGCTTCTATTGTCCTCATTTGTAAGTTCCTTTGGATAAAAGCGTCTGCTAAATGACTAAATGTAAATATATATATATACGTTGACATACCTGTAATTTGTAGAAAGGACAATTCAAGGTGAAATCAAGCTGTTTTTCATCTTCCTAGCTGTCATTATTTAATTTAACCATCATTCAGCAGGTCTTGTCATCTTCCCCGGGCTTCACTTTTCCCGTTGCCAGTGTAATCCAGAGTGAATTTTGCATTTTAATATTAATAAGGTTTGTCAATGTTAAGCAGTCGTGTGGATGCCGAAAAAGTTGAGAGCTTATTCACCAGGGTTTCACCCCAGAGGAACTGAAAAATATGAATTATTACACCCATTTAATCTACTAATGCAGCCTCAATAAAAATCACATTACTGTAATTTAAATCCAGCTCATTAAACTTTTCCACAGACTCTGAGAGATTAAACAACTGTCAGAAAAAAAAGAAACAATATTGAGAACAGTCTAATAAAGTTTGTGGGTAAATGATGCAAAGAGCAGGTTGCAGGATTTTTAGTAATTAAAACAGAGTTTCAAAGGCGCTGTGAGTTTTGGCATATGACACATGCTGACCTGATTAACCTACAAATTGATATTAAATCTCAAGATGTCTTTCTTGGCTCTCAGTTAATACAATCTGAAGCCTAATTAAGCAGTTAATACACCAAATTAGATGTAGTGCCTGTGTAGCATGGATATATTGAGGATAGCGGCTGAAATCGTGATAGTTTCAGTCTTGCATAGCTGGT